CATACATACATACATACATAGGGACAGACACAGGCAGAGAGAGAGAGAGAGAGACAGACAGACAGACCGACCGACCGACCGACCGACAGACAGACAGACAGACAGACAGACAGAGACAGGCAGGCCGGCAGGCAGACAGACATGCATATATGTATATATATATATACATGCTACAATCTCTGAACAAATAGATGAATGCAAAAAGATAATTATCTACATGAGTCTAAACAATTGTCTAAACACACACACACACATGAACAGACATAGAAGTTGACATCGAGATGTACATAAGAAATGAACTACAAATACAAATACAAATACAGATATACTTGCACCCGTACATATACATAAACAATAGTATAAGAATAAACATAGGTATTAGTATGAGTATAAGCACATGGATCAGTATAGGTAGATGCATAGATATAGGCATATGTATAGGAAAAAGTACAAGAACAAGTATAATCACAAGTGCAAGTATAAGCATACATATAAGTATAAACACGATTGTAATCACAAGTGTATGTACAAGAATAAGCATATGTATAAGTAAAAACTTAGTTATACGTCTGAGTCTAAGTATAAGTAATAGCGTAAGCAGAAATATCAGTATAACTATAAGCATAATGCACAAAGGTATGTAAGCTATAGATATAGATGAATGGATGACAACATACCGACATATTGTGCAACTTGGCAGCCTCGAGTACATCATTTCTAAACCCTCAAAGCAAGTCGAACCCATGCCCGATCAACTGCAAATCAGCACGAGAATCAGAAACTGCGCATGGGAAGCCAGCACACATCGGAAACCGGCACGAATCGGAAACTGCGCATAAACCGGGGCACATCGGAAACTAGAGCACATCGGAAACTGCGCATGGGAAACCGATGATGACGTCCATGCCACCAGTGCATCCAAAACCAAGAGCATCCGCATCCACTCCCAAGAGCATGAATTCCCGATTGAATCACCCGTTCTTGGTTTCCCAATCATCCGGCTGCTTTCCGAATCAACCGTTCTTGGCTTCCGACTCACCAGTCTGGTTTCTGATTTCCGAATCACCCGTTCTGGTTTCCGAATCATGCACGGTTTCCAAGTATCTGTGGTTTTCGATCCAGCCCTTCTGGCTACAGAGTTTTCCTTGACCTCCCCTGCCCCGGTTTAAGGAGCCTGGTGGCCATCCTGACTTCTTTCGCAATGGTGAAGGCAAGCTTCCATTTTTGCGGCTTCGAGTTTGGAGCAAAACCTCCGGCTCAGGTCTTGAGTGCCAATCTTTTCGATGCAGCTGCAAAGGTGCGCATGCTTTTTTCAGTTCCCCGTCTTTGAAATCCAGGGGCAACAGGAGTCTCCACCGGAAAGCTAAGGTGCTAGTGGAGGCTGGAGACACTCTTCGGCCTCAGGAGATGCTGCCTTGGGGTTCCCACCTGTGGGTCCATCCTTCTCTTCAGAGGACGTTGCCAATTGCACGTGGGCATTCGCAACTTTGCGGCATCCGCATCCAGAAATATTTTCAGGTGAACTGCCCTGCTTGCGGGTACCCCAGGGGTCTCTGACGTATCTCGAAGACTTCTGCCAGGCTTGGGTGCCTCTGCAGCAAGGAGGCTCCACGAGTTCCGCCCGGAGCAGGTTGGGTGATTTTGTGCCCCGTAGTGGCCTGGTTGTTCCAAACCCGTGTAGATCCGTTTGCTGCCTTTGTCAGTTCGGCTTGAAGCACCTTCGGGCATACTCAGCAACATTACAGCCTTTGGCCTCAAGATGACCAGCTCCAGAATCAGTGGCCTGAGGTGCTCATGCCGGTACCCACGGCCCTGCATGAAAGCTAATGACGATGCGCGAGTGGCGAAGAGTTGGCTCCAATGCCAGTGTTTCCAACATGTTAAGCTTCCCCTTGTTCGGGCTGGCTCCAACGGCCTGACGTCAGCTTTGATGCAGTTCCTTGTCGTTTGCCTGAGGGATGAAGAGTACTGTAACTATGTAGTTAGGCATGTCATGAGAGTTCGCCAACGGACCGCAAAATCGAAGTCGAAAGACTGTCATGCCCGCACAAGCCGTTTCCTTCCGTGACTTGCCACCTGTTGTCCCGATCTTTTTGACTTCCATGGTCTGAAAGATGGAGTGGCCTGGAGGGTGCGAGAGAATGAGGGGAGGGGGAGGTGTGGAGGAGGGCGATGCCGCCAGAGCCATACCAAGGCTTTTTGAGGGTTTCTCGCGAGTCCCCGAAGGTGGCTGTCTTGGTCTGGGCATTCGCGCTGGTTCGATGGCGCCTGGAGAAGCTGTTTGAGGTGTGTGTGTGTGTGTGGTGAGGGAGCATATCATCCAGCAAGCAGCGGCTTGTTCCCAATGCCAGGCAGTCCAGCATGATGTCGTGTTGGCCACAGTTGATAGTCTCGGCAGTATTTTGCTTGAGGAAGGGTCGGCGGCTGCCGTGTAGTAAAGCTCATGTGCTGCCTAGGTGGACCGATACACTCACTTCAGTCCCGACAGTCCCCCTGCCTCGTTCAAGTGGAATGTTGTTGGAGAGTGTGGCACAGTACAGGATCATGGGAGTCATGCATGTCAGTGTGAATGCAGCACTGCCAGGCCTGGCCAATGTTCTGCATTCGTTCACGCTGGTGGGTCATGACGGTGCGCAAGTGATCCTGGAGGCCAGTCCCCTCGTCTGCAATGTTCTGGGATGGTTCGCAACAGACAAGCACAGCGGCAGAACCTAAGCTCCAAACTTCTGCCAATCCCAGGCTGGTAGCAGGTGGCTCAAAGAGCAAAGCGACAATTGTGATTTTTCTTACATAGGTTGAGATCGCTTTGAGCAATTGCCGTGTCCCAGCAGCACCCGAAAACAAGGCAGGCTCGATGATAGTAGTTAGCCCAGATGTGCGACAGTTGACCCAGCAGAACTAGCTTTCTGATTGATCCTGCTGTGGCTCATGGCCGGTGGGGATGCGTACTCTGCACGGTATCTCGGCCGAAGTTGATCCGACAAGCCCTAAGCAGTTTGCCCGCATGACGATTCAGCATCACGCACGGCCTCGTTGAGCATGTTCTGCGAAGGTGTGCTATTGGTCGCACTGGGCAGCTGTCCGCACACTTTTGCACAGACGTGCAGGCCGCTGTGCTCGTTCGACTCGCAGTACACGCAAAGCTGCCAAATTAGCCGCTGGTACACAACAGCCTTGCTAGAAAGGCTGCAGGGTGACGGTGTCTGGGGGCAGATTGCTGCCAAGAGCTTTTCATGTGAAAGCTTGAACGGCTCTGACTGCGAAAATGCCACATCGTGTCAAGTTTCTGGGAGTGGCTGTGCCGCTGACCGGGCTTGGATGGCAAGGAAGCTGGCTAGCCCTTTGTGGCAAGGCGGGGCGAGCTTGGGGGCAAAGTGTGGCCTGCTGGGACAAGTGATGGCCGGGGAAGCCGAGTGTATGGAAATGGACGAGGCTGCATGTGATTCGTACAATGGCACTGCTGGGTGCCTGTGGGATCCTGTGCGATCGTCCTGTGGCCTCCCACCTGCAGTGGTCCTTGCATTGCTGCGGCAGGAGATGCCATCAAAAGTGCTGTTCCACTGTGTTTCTGCTGTGTGCTTGCGTTCACATCCTCACCTCAGAGCATGCAAGCAATCAGGACTTCCGTGATGAGCTCGTGCGGTTGGCTCTGCGACGAGAGCGCTGTGCATCCGTTACATCTGAAGATCTGTGCAAAGGGTCTTGTTGGTGGGATGCCGCTGCAATGCGCTGCAATCTGTTGGCCGTGGAAGCTCTGCTGGCCGTCGTTGATGAAGATTGCCCGCTCAGGCAGGGATTGGCTTCAGAAGTGGGGTCTGCAGTCGGAAGCAAAGTGCTGTTTCAGGACCGTGCTGAGCACACAAGCTGCTTGCACCGGCCTCGGTGTCATTGGGATCTTTGGTACATGTAGAGCAAGCACAGAAAGCCACATCCTTCGCTGCGGCGGGCAAATCCATGAATGTTCGATTTCTTTTCCATACTCTGGCCCTGATACCAACATCACTGCCAAGGTGACGAGCTTTCTGAAGAAAGCTGTCGGGCAGCAGCGTGGCAAAGTGGAACCCAAGACGCTCGGACTGAACGAGACCGGCGCTTGAATGCAATCTGCATGCATTTTTTTGTCGTTTCTGTGCTCATGCCCGTCCACAAAGGACTGCATTTGGGTGAACGGTTGCCAAGCGAATCCTCGCACTCTGGAGATGGTGTTGCTCCGGCAGCTAGGACTAATGACCGCACAGATGGAGGACATCAGCGAATCACATAGTCATTTTAGTTTTAAATAACAGTTTTCGTGTTGCAGGCGCAGCCTTACTCCGGTCTTGAGCCCCTGCGAGCTCCAGCTGCAGGACTCCATGACGTCTTCCATGGCAACCTGTGGAAATTTGACAGACTGCGATGCCCAGACGCCTGTGTGAGGGCTCAGAGTTCCTCGTGACCACATGTCATGGCGCGCTTCGCCATTCATCATTGCTTGCTTTGCGACTGAGGCATTCTGCGTTGAAGACCTGCCGCCACTGCACGGGGCTGCGGTACAGCGGGCATCGAATGTTGCATTGCCTCTATTGCTTCTGTGGGTGGTAGATGCTGCAGGCCTTTCCGCTTAAAACGGTGGCAAGGCATCAAAGTGCAAAACTGTTTAATGGAGGCGAGCTGCCTCTGGGAAGGCAGCTCGGGAGGGCCAGCTGCCCCGGCTTTGTGCGCGAGCACAGCGCTTCCGCAATCCTTCTCCGATGCAAGCATGAGTTTCACCGCTGTTTCACCGCTGTGGGCTTGTGCCACGAAAGCAGCTGAAAGAGCATGGCTCCATTGCACGATTGTTGTCACGAGTGTTCGCTTTTTGGATTCTGCCTCCTTGTCCGTTGCTCTTCTCTTTGGCTGTCTTGTCCTCTCCTTGCTTCGTTGCTGTCTGGGCTCGCTGCCCTTGCCTTCTTGTCCGTCATTGTCTGTCCGTCCCTGCCTCTTCCCGGCTCTTTCCGGACAATTCTCACTAGTGAGTGTGACAGCTCTTCCGCTGTTGACAGGTGGCCGCCCCACACATTGCGACGAACCTCTCAGAATACAAGTCGAAGGCACCGGACAGCATCTTCTGCTGATGCTGTGCAACTTCCCTCTCAGCGTCGTGCATGGAGCTGTGGCGTCTTCCAGGCTCTTGCCAAGCTCGTATTTGCGACAACCAAGACATCTGAACCTGCCCGGGGCACAGAGCATGTTCAAGTCTTCGGTGTCTGTACGCACCATCAACTCGAGAGAATGAGCGAGTCTTCAGGTCAAGGGCGACTTGGTGGAGATCCTTGCGCAAGAATTCCTGCGGCGAGCGGATTCTATGTCAATGCCAATCCCCCGAGAGATCACAACATGCACAGAGCTGGAGTCTTGGAGCACGCCTAGGTCCCTTCTAACTGCTATGCTGCTCGCATTCTGGAAGGCCAATCCGCCAATCCGTGCGATTGTGCCTAGATTCGTAGCCGTCGCTGCTTTGAGGGCCTGCCCTGGGATGTCAGGCGGATTTGAGCAACCCCGACTTTTTCCGTCAGGCTGCTTCCAAGGCACCGTCCGGTCAGCCTCTTTCATCGTTGACATGGTCATCGTGGTCCAGGTGCAGGCCTGCTTGAAAGACTTCGAGACATCTGAGTTCATACGACGCGGCCCCGAACGTTTGTACTCGGCAGCGGGTGTCCTTTTAAGAAATGCTCAGGTCTGCTGAAGATCTTTGCAGCAGCTGGAGCCATGGAGCCCGCCTTTGTTCAGGACTCTTGCTAGCGTCTTGCCATATGGCGAAATGGCGGTTTATCTGCGAGGACATGGTTGATGAGGCCATTGCCTTCGAGTGATGTTGACGCCAAGAGAAGCGTCTTGACAGATGCTGATGCCATCTTGTGTCTACTACAGGCACAGCGGCGCTTGCCAAGCCTGCGAGCGACAGAGCTTGTCAATCTGGCGAAGCTCGCCCCTGAGATGCGCTTTGCCGCGCAAGAAGCAGGTTGATGCAAGGTTTGACACGACTTCGTGTGGCTCTGAGGACCTTGCTTCAGATTGGGCAAGCTTCGCCCTTTCTCTTGGAAAACTTGGCGGGGAGCCAAGCTCCTTCCAGTTGTCTGCCGAGTAAGTCGATCTGAAGGCAGAGCACGGAGACAAAGTCCTTCCGCAGATGTCCCAGAAGGAAAGCGCTGCTCTCGATGTGTGAAATCCCCGCGCGTTTGGCATTCAAGTTGAACGACTCGTCGTCCTCCTCCTCCTCCTCCTTTTCTGTCGGAGGAGCTCACGAGCTTCCTGCGATCGCTGAGTGGTCTCGGCCTGACCTCGGCCTCTTCCAGCGGCAAGGAGAGGGCCTCGCGGAGAAGAGAGAGTCGCCTCGCGGAGCTGCACTGGCGCACTGGCCAGGCCTTGTTCAGGCAGGCGGCCTCCAAGGCGCATAGAGTCGTAGAGCAAAAAGCCTTGCAAAATCGGATGTCGGAGCTCGAGGCAACTCGGCAGCTCCTGAGAAGCAAGGATGCAACAGATGCAGTTCTCTTGAAGTTCTAGAAGTTGCGAGAGCGATCTATCTCGCGTGTGAAGGACGATCGTCGGTACTCTCTGAAGTCTTCTGATCTTGCTTGCTTGTCTAGAGTCTTTGCCGGATGCTGAGTAAGTTGCTGCTTTGGGAGGGACACCGCCCTTGGATCGCGTTCGCGGTGTTTAGTGCCCGTTTTTCTCTCAGGCCCGCGCAGCAGCTGCCACTGGCCCGCTCGCGGACAAGTATCAGGTCGATTCGCAGAGGATGGCACCCCTGCAGCGGCAATTGTTGGGTGCCAGCACCTCGCATGGAGGCGTCGGCAGAGACCCCGGCCGAGCTTCGGGAGGCCTCTCCACATCCTCTGGCAGCGATTTGCCCGTCTTCCGAGCCTCCAGCAGGCCATCAACGCCTTCTTGCAAGCAGCAGTGGAGGAGGTGAGAGATGTGCTCTTGTCTCTCTGCCTGCAGACTGTAGACAATGTAGACAATGCCATCTGACCAAAACGCTGCGTCTCGGTGGTGCAACAGACATTCTTCTAGCACAAGCGGCGGCGTTGCAAGTGGTCTCGTACGGCGGGGCATGTGTGCAGATGGGCGCGACTACTGTTTCGCTTGCAGGCACGGCAGCGATTAGATGAGTTTCAAGCTTCGCCTGCTTGTTTGGTGGGGGTGCTGCTGACCTGTTTTCCAGCCTTGCAGACTTGCGCATGAAAAGCCTTATCGAACGTATCCTGACGTATCCCGTCACGTCCCAAGGAGCCTTTACGTGCCAAGGCCTTTAACCTTGGGCTTTTTGGCGAAAAGCCTTTGGCAGGTGCTTTGGGCGGCCTCCGAGTGCAAAGTGAAATGCGAGTCGCTGATGAAGGTGTGCTTGAAGCACTTAGTGGGGCTGGTGGTATTCTTGCTTCTTGCTGTTCTTACGTGCTTCAAGCAGTATTTGGGTCAGTGCCCTTTGCGAGAAAACGGAGCTCACTTGAAATACATCCTGGTTTCAACCGCCTCGTCCTGGTGAAAGCACCAGCCAGCCTCTCGCCACGAGTTTGCAAACGACTGTCGACAGTCTTCAAAGAGTATGCAAGACATCAAGACAATTGTGGTTGACGTTGTGGAGTGACGCACGTCTTTCTTGAGTGGGTCATCATGCATCTTGTGGCCGCAATCAGATACTTGTTGAGTTTTTGCGCTCATTGCCGCTGTTGCGGTCGATCTTGGAATGACCCGTGCAAGTTTGCCTTGCCAGCGGTGTAGTTCCAATGTCTGGCGCAGGCGACGATCGCCGTGCTTCTGCCGTCTGATGCGGGAGGTCAACCGGCGGTATGTCAGAAGTAGCCTCATCGTGTCACTCAGCCCTGTGTTACTCCCATGAATCAATGGTACCAGGATGCATCTACATTCAACTCAGTACTTTTGAATGTCGTGGCCGCAGGTTGTGACAACAATCTTCAGAGACTCCAGCTGCCCGAATTGGCGGAACTGGCAAAGGCACCTCGATTTCGCGATGCCAAGTCCGTTGTTAGCCGCTGCCAGTCGTGCTGAGGCGCTCACCCACCTGGGCGTGGAGCAAGTGGAGTTGTACAAAGCACTGGCCGACGTTGCAGTAGCGTGCATGCAGGCACAGGGTTGGGCAATCATGCCCGGACAGCCTCAGAGCAGACAACATGGTTAATCATGATCATATGGCCCTGGCAGGAAGCCAACAACGCCCGACACTTAGCAATCACAACTGGCGTCGTGCATCCAAGCCCTGCGACACTGCGCTCCCAGAGAGCTCTGCTATCCGCCTATCCGCCACGTATCCACAGCCCTCACCTGATTTCTCTCATGACTCAAGTTTTTCTGGTGTGTTTGGGCCCTGCGAAGCCTTCGTGGTCGCGAGGCTCAGAACTACGCGCAGCCGTCTCCCAGCGGCTTAGAATCAGCTTGCACATGACTTCCATGTTTTTCGCCGATGACGTCGAAATTTAATACACTAGTGTCACTAGTTGCAACAATGGACATTGCACTCGCTACTGGTATTAGGATAGCTGCAAGTAAGCACTCAGAACAACTTGTGAGGCGGGGCCAGGAGTTTACATCAGCCAGGATGTGTCTAGATGTTCGCTCGGTGATCCGAGAGCAGGAACCAGAATGAGCCACAAAGTTTGGTCCGGAAGCAAGCAAAGCCGCTCACAGCGCATCATCAAGCGACTGCTTCCGCACGAGAGCTCGTGCGGGGTGGAATTTCTGTTGCCTTTACGAGTGGGTGAAGAGGTAAGCTTGTCTGGCACCCTTGAAGTTCGGGTCTTGCGAGGCTGCGCCGAGATCTGGGGGGCCAGTCTCTTGCCATCAAAGAGATTCCGTCGCCTTGTGGTTCCCCCTTGGTGTTCCACGCCTCGGATACGGGCCGTGCGTGGCAAATCTTTGGGTTCTCGACAGGTCGATGCGTCTGCAGAGGCGCAGGATGTGCAAGACTTCTTGGCCGGTCACCGATGGCCTGTCGTCCTGTGCCTAAAACTCTGCAGAGAGTCGCGGGACACACTGAACGCAGAACTTGCTGCTCCGCGAATGCGGGCTGTGCTCACGTCTCCTTCAGATCATCCACGTTTGACGGCTCACCGCGCATGGCCGAGCATACTGCAGCACTTCCTGGTCGAGTGCGTCCATTGCTACAGTGAGAAGCCGCCGGTCTTATTGGTGATGGGTCCGAAAGGAGTCGGAAAGTCCACCTGCTGCCGATACTTCGTGAACTCCTTGCTGTCGGAGTGCCCGGAAGTTTATTTTCTGGAGACTGACTTGGGTCAGCCGGAGCTGGGCCCTCCCGGTGTTGTGACTTTGCATCGCATCACCCAGCCACTCTTGCAAGTGCCACATGCAGAACAACACCACCACCAGCGCCTCGCCGCTTTCTTTGCAGGCGCCGTCACGCCCTCCACACACCCCGAGCTTTTTGTTGCATCAGTTGCTGCTGCCTTCAACTCTTACATCGAAGCTCAGCAGGGTGTTGTCCGGCCTGCGCCCTTGATGGTGAACTCGCATGGCTGGACCACTGGACTGGGTTTGGAACTGGTGCAACAGGTCGTTGCAATCTCGAGGGCACAGCTCGTATTGCGGCTGAAGCCTTCAGAGCCCCGGCTGAAGCGGCCTGCAGAGGATCCCGCCGAAGCCGTCTGCAAGGGCGTCCCCGACGAGCCGAAGCCACGCCGCACCTCTCTCGCCCGCTGCGGGCCCCTCGCGCGTGCCTTCGGCCGGTTCCAGAAACCCTCCGCCTCCGACGATGCGCTGGTGCTGGTGGACGTGGAGTCTGCGGCCAAAGGTGCCGGAGCTTCCCCTACAGCCGCGCAGCTGAGATGGCTTCGGATCGCAGGACACTTCCAGCCTAATCTCGACCCATGCCTCGCACCGCATGCAGTGGCTCCGCAGACCTTCTTTTCGATGGTGCCCCGCTGGCGGCTGCAGATGAAAGGGCTACGCTTTGGTCTTATTGCTGGACATTTGCTTCACTCAGAGGTTGAAGCGGCGCTGACAGGCACGGTGGTTGCCCTTTGTTCCCAGCCGCAATCAGAGGAGTCCCAAGAAGTCGAGGTCCGCTCATCGGAGGATCTGAGTTTGCTGGAGCCACACGAGGCACCAATTGAATTTGTGGCATACGCATTTGTGCACTCATTTGACTTTCGTGTGGGGCAGATCGTAGTGCATTCTTGTTTATTAGAGTCAGCAGTAGGGAGTGTCAACCTCGTACTCAGAGGCGAGATCGCTTGGGAAGCGAACAGCACTCGGAATCTTAGGCTCGGGGATGGGAGTCCGAGCCCTATGCAGCCCTATGCTGCCCCGTGGTTTCTTGAAGGTATGGGTGTCGGAAGCAGGGTCGTGAGCACGAGAGGCAATATCCGCCGGCGAAAGCTGCGGACACTCTGAGTCTCTGCAGCGTTGCCCAGAAAGAAGTGCGAGGGTTGCGCACTTCTTGTGCTCATTCCTTGGACCGCAACTGCATGTTGATCTCAGCTAGAGTCTGGAGAGGACAAGCGGTGCTTGGCATGTCATGCAAGGCAGGGCCTCCAGAAGAGCACCTTGTTCCTGCCGCCGAACTCCTCAGCCTTCTGGCGACAGTCGGGTGCGACGGCAGTTGCCTGCCGCTCGAGTTCGGCAGCGCAAGCTCTTCTGCCCTGGGTGTCCAGGATTTCGGGGTCAGTGCTTGCATCCACTACGGCAGACAAAGCGAGGCGCTTAGCAGTGCGGCAGTCAATTGCACGGTGCTTGTACCATTCGATGCAGCACTGACACATCGCCTGTTTGCATGAGGTTCTTTCAGTGTTGGACCAAGCCGACACTGAGATCAAGCTCCCTGCATGGCTCTCAGACAACCAGGGGAAGAGAAATGCGGCGGTTTTTGTCCGAGCCGCAGACTCCCTTTAAGGCTTGGGTCATTGCACGTTGCATTGCTGGGCTCGCTCTTTCCGTCCCGGACGGGGCCTTGGGTCGAGAGTTAGAGCCTAGTTGGGCAGTCTTGCTTAGCAGCTTAGCACACCATGCATGCTTCTTACGAAAGCGTCGAACGCTAGGTCGGTCGAATTCTCAGTGCCTTGAAGCTCCTGGCTCGTGCCGCGACGGCACGGGCTGTCGAGCTCCTTCCGGAGGCGACGCAGTGCCCTGCAGTGCCCTACCGTGCCCTACACGTCTCGTTCTATCATGGCGGCGAATCATCGATGGTTTTCTGTGCCGAGATGTTTAAGAATCTAGCACGTGACGTTCGGTACTCGTCACTGCCGGCCACTCGAGATGCTTCCCCTACTTTTTCGAAACCTCTTCCCTGCATGCAGCGTGCACAGAGATCGACAAAGAAAGACAACAGTTTGTGCAAACCCCGCCCGTGTCAAGCAAGTGCAGCTGGCAAGACAGCAGCAGCGGTGGCATCAATGCTGGAAGTTCCAACAAAGACTTTGATCGGTTGATAGGAAGCACTAGAGCGTCCGGTCGGTTCTTTCGAAGAGGATGCAGGCTGGAGCATGATTCATCAGTTCTATGATTTTTCGCGGTACGGAAGCTCAAAACACAGCTAGTCAAGCCGCAATCCACACTTGTATTCGAACGCTTCGAGCCAAACGCTTCAGAGCAGCCCACAAAGGCCCCGAGCGAAATCGAAACCCTGTCTGCGGTACACCATTGGCGCGTTTGCTGCGTACTGACGGGACGCTGTACCTGGTCAGTACTTCTCACTCCGGAAGTGTCTGCTGACCAGGAACGTGCCTTGATTTTCTGGAGCCTAAGCTTGCAAGGCTGCTACGAGGCGATGGCACCTGCTTTCTTTCGCACCACACCTGCATGACATCACAGTCTCATGGGTTAGCACCAGGAGTTCTTTGAAGCAGTTTTGGAGCAGACACCATGGTTGGATCCCCAGCTTTCCAGTGCCTACGGCTAGCCTCGAAATGAGTTGCAGCATTCTGGCAGGACTCTGTGGGCACCGAAGCTGCAGGCGCAAGATCGTTTACACAGATCAGCCGCAGATGCGTTCCATGTGCATATCACGTGTCAGTGTTGCATCCATGTTGAGGACGAGCTGGTTATCAGCGGAAATGGGTATGTCCCTTCACCAAAACTCGTGGCCTTGTGCCAGGCTCCCTTCTTGATCAGTCGAACTCCGATCATGTCATTGTGAGGCTTTCCGTTCGACCCACCAGTTTGCCTGCGAGGTTCATCTTGCTGATCTGGCCTTGCGCATTGAGGGCGGAGGCAATGTTGCATCAACTCCACGACTTGCATCACTCTGGCCACACCCCTCCCCCTAAGGGGATCGAGCGGGTCTTTCTGCGGCGCAAAGGACTTCGCAAAAGGAACCTTCAGAAGCTGAGTGCCGTTTTAGCGGGCCCACGACGGAAGGAGCCATGTTGTGGAAGCTGCCCAAGTCATGGCGCGCATACGACCCGAGATACCGGCAGAGGCAGATCTTGGGATTATGCTATTTTGTACTATATGATATGGTATTTTGGTATTATGCTATGTCTTGTATATGATGGCTTATATGTTGTTCTGCCCTGAGATCGCTCCTCTTTTGAGGCAGAACCTATCTCCCAAGCACTGATTTCCATGGACCTGCTGCCATCACTCGGAAGCAGTACACCAGAAGGCGGGACATCCAGTGCTTGTGGGACCTACAGTTCGTTTCTTAATTTTAGGGCTCCTCGTCACTGACAAAAGTTCTCCTGTCACGCTGTGTTTGTATTCGTCGAGATGTCAACAGGCCCAAGGACGTCGGAAAATAGTCTGCACATTCAGAGGACAGTCTGCTTGGACACGAACTGTCGTTGTGAAAGGATGCAGTTACCTTGAGCGCTGTTGCTGCGTATCATTGCACATGAGAGGGCTGGAGTCATGTGCGCGGTCAGCCATGGAGAGGAGGACTTCCTATCACTTTGCTTGCAGATAACTGGTATGGGCAAGGTTCAGGGCTTTGCCTTGAAGAGGCAGCCTTCCCGGCCATCCAGTCAGGCAATACTCGGGCGCAGTGTACTCCAAGCGCCTGCACTGCAAACCCGTGCGGCATCTGAAGCTTCCCTCTCTCAGGCTACAAAGCGAAGCACACGAATCCGCTGGAACATGGGGCCTTGCCAGCACAGGACCTGGCTGTCTGCCCTTCGAAAGACCGGCTTGGAAGGGGAATTCTGCAATCTGATGCAGTGGAGAGGCTTCCAGTTCGGCTCCCGTCGGGTCACAATCAAGATGAAGGACTTCTGCCACGACAAGTACGAGCTGGCAAGAGAGCTCTTGCAAAACCCCTCGTTGTCGGGCACTATGCCTGAAACGTATCTGGGTGTGGAGGAGTTTGTCGCTTCCAGAAGGAACGTAGAAGGTCTTTGGTTTCTGAAGCTATCCGATGTTGACTACGGGTGCGGAGTCCGTCCGTTTCAAGGCCCGAAGACTGAAGAAGAACTTCAAGATCTGCTGGAGCTTGCCTTTCTTGAGGCTTCTCAGTCTGTCACGGCTCTGCGGAAGGCCAAGGGCTGCAAGCCACGACCACTTGGCCGGCAGATCGTCATCCAACGGGCGGTCGAGTCTCCTCTTTCCTCCGATGGGCATAAGGAGGACTTCCGTGTCTACGTGTGTTGTACAGCATCCCACAGCCCACGAAAGATCTTCGTTTATCAGAAGATCGGAGTCCGGAAGGCCCCGAAACCAACGAATCCGATGCATGGTTTGAGCCGAGCTAGTCATTGCACCCACTACGGACGCATTACGCCAGCGGCCTCGTCCACGGACTATCACCATTATGATGTCATCTTTCCAAAGCTGTGTGCAAGCATTGCGCAAGTAATGCAGCATTTTGGTCCAAGTCTGGAAGAAGGCTCTGCAGTCCTTCTTGGCATGGACTTTATTTGCGACGAAAGCCTGAAGCCTTGGTTGTTGGAGATAAACCAAGTACCGCGCCTCTGCTACGACGACCCTCACGTTCAAGCTTGGACTGAAAGCATGGCCATGGATTTCATACAGCTGGTTGTCCTTCCAGAATTCGGTCAGAAAGAGAAGCGCCAAACATTGTGGTCACTGGTTTAGAGGCCACATGTCGTTTCACAAACATGCAGTTGTACCAAGTTTCCGATGCTTTCAGCCTCCGTTCAATGCTGATTCATGGCCCCGATGCTCTCAATGCAGTCCATGGGCTTGAACTGCATCAGACTGACAGTGGCCAGTCGATGCACTGTACATAGGCGAGCCAGGCTTGCAAATGCTGTAATCCTGAGTTGAAAAGAGATTCGTGGATAAGATGAGTTTGCGAAGAAGAATGGCGTGTAAGACATTGTAAGACAGTGAAGAGCCCCCGTGGTTCACCTCCTACTCTCCACTCTGTAGATGGAGAGGAGGAGAGGACTCCGCATCCCACATCTGCCTGCGACAGAACACACCCGCCCGAGGTTTGCCCTTGAGCATTCGGGTCAGCTCTTCGTCTATCCGGCCCTTTCCTCAAATTACCGGCTACGGTGGGGGGGAGATGCGAGTCCTCTGACCAAAATTTGTCAGGGGTTCGGGTGCGTCGACTGTGTCCATCGAGGCGCAGGGCCACTGGTCCCAACTTTGTTGCTCCTTGCAACCACCAGAACCTCAGATTGAAAGTTGAGATGTATGGTCACGATCTGGGCACAGCACCCGCCCAAAGTATTGTGCCTAAAGCTGATGCATCACGCGGGTAAGGTTAAGGAACTACCTAGCTACAAGATGCTACAAGAGTGTTTTAAGCGTGCGCCTTGTTAGCTGTAGAGGTGGATCGCCCCGGAGACCTGCTCTTCGACATCGACTCGGGGAAAGCGCATCGTGACGCGGCTGTCACGGCAGTGCTCCGACGCCGCAACAAGTTGCAACCGAGGCTTTTTGCCTACTGCATTGAGAAGGCGCTTGCTTTGGTGCTTAGGTGCCCCGCCTGATCAACGGTGTCTAGGGGCTAGAGCCAAGCGAATTCTGTGGCTGTGGAAGCCAAGGCTACACCGTGGTGGTTTTGCCCTGGTATGAGGTCTGGATATCGCGGGACGATCAGACATAGGACTGTCCATGTCGGGACTCAGCAGGTCAATTGCTGTGACAATGAGCAGCTGGTAGCACTCCTGCGTGCCAGACTAGCTGAGGCACGACGGAAGTACTGTAGAGTTGAAGGGAGGGCTGAAGAAGCTGCAAGGTGACGCCACCACGACCACGCTTCAGTTCCGCTGGAGGCATGCTGCTGCAGCTCTTGCTCAGAAAGAGTCGCTCACCGGCAAGATGCTGGCATTCCAAGGTGGGCAGTCCAAGCTGCAGGAGGCTGATGAAAGAAATCGGGTGAGCAGCGCTGAGGCCTGAATCCTTCAGAATTCAGCTCCCTTCAGTTGCAAATCCGCAAACCCGGCCTGAAGGCCAGCGGGAACAGCAGCTCCAGCGGCCTGGCAATCTTTGCGAGTTCGTATGCGAGTGTGGTTTGCGGGGCACACTCGGTCGTTTGTTTCGGTTTAAGAGTCTGGATTGACTGCTGTTGGAGTTGTTGCAATCACGGACGATCCCCCAAACTTGTTGCTGCTATTCTTGTGTCCTGTTTCAAACACTAGTCGAAGCGTTTTTCGAGTGGCATTTCAACGCACCAGACCGGGGGACGTGCCGGGACAGACAGACGGACTGACTGATTGAGTGACTGACTGATGGACGACCAATCGACGGAGGCTACCGACAGGAGGATGCACGGACTCGCCGACTGATCCGCAAGCAAAACGAACAGGACGGCACAAAAGCACCCGACGCAATGCTCAAGCTCTCCAACTACACTTCTCAATTGGCATTGCTTTGCAACTGTCGCGGCGTTCTGCTAGGGTTCTCCGGGTTTAGCGAAGATTGCTGGGAGGGAAAGAAAAATCAACTAAAGTCAATGCATGGCATTAGGGGATAAGATGCCATCGTCTTCGGTCTGCGATCTAGGTGTGTCTTCCTGGCAAGCGATGAGGCAGGGGCCTGGTCTTGATCCTAAGGCATAAAAGAGGTGTGCCTTGATTGCATGGTACAGTCTTCAGACACACACTTCCGGCTCAAAGTGAAGTCAGCAGCATCATATTTCGCGCTTCCTTCTGGAGTCCTAGCTGCTGATGTTCGCACATGTCACGGGAACACATCTTTGATGGCTTCGATGACGTTGCGGCGCTTTCCGAAGAAATCGAAGCAGCGCTGGACTTCGTGGCGCAACAGCCGCAGCAACTGAGCTCGTATGCGCCGCGGGCATTGACTTGCGTTGCTCTCGCAGCAGTCAGCACCCGACGCATCAATTGGGATGTTCTGAACGCAGCATGTTTCGAGATACTGAGAAAGGGCTTGCGACACGTGTCTGCAGCCTCTCTGACTCGGCTGTGCTGGGTGTTGGCATGTGCGGAGCACCGTGACGAAGTTTTGTTGGCTACTATCGGGGAGGAGCTTGCTGAGCGTCCGTCTGACTTTACTGCGGATGAACTGGTTAAGTGTGTTTATGCCTACTCCGAGCTCAATGTGTTTCATGAAGCAATGTTGGCAGCTGCCACGGTAGAGCTAATGTGGAGGATCGACCAGTTGTGTGCACGAAGTTTGGCACATTTTGCAGTCGCATTGGCTCGCCTGGAATATTACAAACAGCCTGTCTTTGACTGGCTTGCGAACTGCCTTTGCCAGAGACCCGAACGCACGTTGGATGACGTTTCTTCCACAGTGTGGGCTTTCGCAAAGGCTTCCGTGCCACACGCAAGACTGTGCGAGGTAGCCGCTCAAGATGCGTCGAGCGCAGACGCAGAGACGTTAAGCGAAGAGCAGCATGCAAGACTAATGTGGGCGTTTGGAAAGCCAAACTTGGAATCGTCGGCGGTCGGACTGCCGAGACCTTTGTTCCATCTCGGGCTGGCAAATGCTCAGCTAGTGTGCAATGACCTGACTCCGAAGGATGCATAGCAAAATGTTGTGTAGACGGCACGCCTGCACCGTTAGCCAGGAGCTTTCAGTTTCGGCCGCAGTCGATTCAGGGACAGTAAGGGAAAGCATTTCGTTGCTTCTTTCGTCTTGCATCCTGCCGCCAGGCCACCTCCCGGGCTCTGAAGGCTCTGAAGCTCTGCCAGGCCGTTGCCCTTTCAACGACTGAATGATGTGGTGCTGCTTGCCTTGCAATTATTTACGAGGCCTGACGGGTCGCCAGATGGACCTGAGGCTGGAGGGGCGGAGGGGTGGCAGCAGATGCCACCTGAATGTGCTTTGTAGCTTTTTTTTGGCCGACCTTCTCTGATGGCATGTCAACAACCCGTGCCGTATTGCAGGTGGAAGAGGTTTGCTCCGCCCCGGTGGCCAAATCAAAGCGACAAATTGCGGGTGCGTCCCACTCGCAACAAGCGCCACCGTACAGACTGGCTTTGCGGACAGTTTTTTGTTGAAGCCCTGTGCGGGGCATCCAGGGCAGCAATAGAAACACTAGCCCATTCTTTTCAGTTCGACGCCCGCTGCAGGCTTGCCAAGCAAGCTTTAGGCAGTGGCAACTTTAGAGGCAGGTCTGCGAATGCGTGCTGCATTCTAGGTGACGGCCACTAGTACCATAGATTTTGACACACCAAAGGCTGGCATATCAGGGTAATCCGCCTTGAGACTTGCCAACGCCTCCCTGTGTACCGTAGCCTTAAATTTTTAGATGGCTGACATGCCAGTCTGAAGGCATTGATGCATTCGATAATGATCTTGTTAATGACCGAAGATCGCAAGAGCCTCTGGCAGTTGCTAAGGCCCGGTGCTAGCACAGGCTCCTGCCAGGAGAGCTTTCCCCTACTTTGGGGGCGGCGAAAAAGAAGAGGCAAGATGCAGTCTGTACCTCTGATGCGACGATATTGCTGGAACTTCGTCTGGCATCGGAGCGCTTCAAGATAGTCGAAACACAGCAAAACCCAGCGACCCTGCGGCTCTACAGAAGAAGCACCTCCTGTGAACCCCTGAGCTCAAGGCAACAGCATGCTGTTTCAATCAACACTGGACTCGGACTACCCACTTTGACATGTTCCTGTCGCCAGCTGCGCGAAACCATGTGGTCGGATGCACGGACTCAGGGCTGGCTTGAGCGATTGATGCGGCCAGATGACTTTTGATGTATAACATCTGTTCGGTTGCCAGCCGTTGCCTCATGGGGCATCACTCGCGACGCATGCATCCAGCCTCAGGGTGAAATTCTCTTCTACAACAACGCCTTCCTTCAGGTTGATGCATGCATTGGGACTTGCGGGAGGCGTCCTACCAGCGTCAGGAAACGACAGGGGGTAGTATATCATCAGAAGTTTTCGCACTTCTCGAATGCAGTAAGCCATGTTCGGTTCAGGAGACCTGCGCTTTCCTGACTACGTGCTGGACTGAGAGTTGTGAAGCCACTGCGTGTTCGCCCGGAAAGCCGAGCCCTTCCCTCACTGCAAGACGAAGACAAACAGACGTGGAATCTTCTCCAAACGCTCCGCCTTTGCACGACTCAGCCTGATGCGGCTTTCAGGTATCTGACTTCGCAGAATCGGAAGGATGTCTTCCGAGCATCTTAGAAGAGGCAGGGCTTGTTCACCTTCAAGCCTTGCAGCTCAGAAATCTTCACCGCAACTCGATGGCAGTGGAACGAATCCCTCTGCCTGAACCTTTGCGTTCCAGACCGAGCCGATTTACATGTCGACGGAGCTGGAATCAATCCTGAAAGAAGCCGCAAACGGTTCCGGTATCGTCGTCGAGTGCTCGGCGATTGTGATACTTGCAAGCATTGGCATGACAGTGTCCCAACAGTGAGGTGTTCAGCGTGTTTGTCAAGACTGGAGACAGGCAGGAGGCAGCAATCTGTCGGCAAAGAGCCTGCGTCGGCAGCGTGCCTGCAACCTTCCGAAGGAGTCCGCCTTTGCGGCACAGCTGAAGCATTGGATGTGCCGCGCCAGGTGCGCTACTGAGGCCATGAAGGCTTGAGGTGACTGTGGTGTCCTCAACAAACAGGTCGGTCTTTGGTCGGGATTTCTTGGTCTTCGTGGATTCGGAGAGATCTAGACAACGCTGGCAAGGCGACTAAGTTCTTAGACGCCTCAGGCTGTTGCAGAAAGCATTCTTCGTCAGGCGAATATGGCATAACTCCGTTCTTCTCCCAGTCGTGGATCGAGGTGCCGAGCGAGACAAAGTTTACACATGGGGGGTTCAGGACAACCAGCTGAGACTAAGACCGGGCTTGTCCATCAGTGGATGCAGGCATCCTTTGCAGGTCCTGCTCGGGAAGAGATCCGCGACTCCAACTATTGGCGCGGGGGCCCAAGGTGGAGGTGCGCACAAACCTGCATGGCAGTTGCTAGCTGTGATGATGTCTGCAACTTAGGTTGGGCCGCGCAGTGGTCTTAGTTGATGTGGTGTCAAACAACACCGAAGTTACTGTCGGGCTCAGGATGGAGTCTATACTTCGTGCCGGATACATGGCCCTCTATGTTGACACTGCGCCACGGCCGCACATGTTGGACACGAACAGGCGCTCGCTCGAATGCTGGCCTTTCCACAGACCGCACAAGCTAACCCATGAGTACTGAGAGTTATGTGCTGGAAAGTTTGCGATTCAGACAGGGGAACAGCAGCAAATAGAGGGTTCTGGGAGTCGATGTCATGAACACGCCGTCTCGGAGGGAGACGGGCGTGAAGCGGGTTTTTGACCATGGTGATGCCCATGATGTCCTATGTTGCTCGGTGCTTGTTGATAAGATTCGAGGTTTGGCCTTGCATTGATGGTGTGATGGTTTTGCACACTTTTGGGCATTGTCTTGAAGGTGGAATCTGAGCAAGCTGCTCTGCGTGTACGCACCGCGAGATGCAAGAGCTTCTTGTGCACCGGTGTTCGCTTAGTTAAGGACATACTGTGGCTGGAGGATCCGCGGCCACTCCTCGTGTCACTTCCTGGCGATGCCGATTTCTTTGGTCTCGTGGCACAATGCCGTTTTCGCGAATGCTTCAAGTCAAGTTGGCGGCGAAACCGAGGCTCCTGCGACGCATATAACGGCAGCAGTGGCAGCATCAGGCCCTGTTAGCCAAGACCTTGAACATTTTGTTTGCCGTTTCCAGAAAGCCAGGTGGGTCAAGGATGGATCTTTGGACATCGAGTACTTGCGTGAGGCAGAGCTCGTTTGGAGACCTCCCACGGTGGTGACATGGCGATTTCCACGGAACAGGAGTCCCGACAACACGATGACGAGTCCGTTTGTTGTCAACAAGGGCTAGTGCCGGTCAATGCTGGAGTTATCTTTATGAGGCTCACAGCCTGCTGCCCACGAACTCGACCGAGCTCCATGCAAGGTCTAAGATATGAAACAGTTTGTCCTCTTCAGGTCGAGTGCTGGTGCTATCAGTGCCGTCGAGCGCTTCCGAAAACGCATCATTTCAGGGCCCTGCTGGGGCCAGGCAGCAATGCAACTTGAATATTGCTGGACCGAGCTATGTTCTGCCGGCTTCAGCCTGCAGAATCCAAGGCATTGGGGGCTCTACGAAATGTGTGGCTCCCAACTTTCGTGTGAGATCCTCGATCCGTTGGTCTTTGCATCTGCAGAGCCACTGCGTACAGCTTTGCGGAGAGACAGCCGGACGGCGCCTGTCTGCATCTGGTCGTAAGTGTCGCATCTTCTCCTGCTCCTATCATCTCCTATCCCCATCTATCCTCCATCACTCCGGCTCCCTGTGTGTCTCTCTCCCTCTCTCTCTCGCTTTCGGTTGGGATGATGAACAAGCGGCTCTCCCTCCGCTGCGCTGCTTTCGCCGAGGCTCTTCGCCGACCTTCCCTGCCCCTTGTCTTTCCTTGCAGAAGGGTGAGCTTGTTGAGAGAGACAGAGAGAGAGAGAGAGAGAGAGAGAGCACACACCCCCAGAAGCCCACCACTCAATAAAACAATTGGTGGTGGGGCGGGCCAAAGGCCAGAGGGTCGGCATTGCTGACCCCTAAGCCCTGCAGAAAGAAAGAAAGAAGTGTGTGTGCTTGTGCTTGTACCCTGTATTTGCAAGGATACACCTGGATATCAAAGCATCCTGGCCCAAACGATGGGTTCAATGCGTGCGTGCGACGAGCGGCCCAATAGTTCGGGACTCCAGGGCAAGCAGAAGGCCACGAAGCACTTCGAAAGATTCTTCGGAACACCGCAGGCAGGATGACAGTCCGGGCACCAGGATGGAGATGCAACGCGATGAGCTCGATCCTCCCTTGCACAGGAATGTCGCATGGATGGCCGCGGAAGCGACAGTGAGTTGTGAAGCCGCTGAACATGATGCAGAACACTTTGCCAGTACACGCTTGGCATAGTCCGATGTGCCTGGCACTGTGATTTGTCATGTCGCAATGTCACTCATGGCATCTCATGTCCCTACTGTTGCGGTGCGGGTGCCCACAGTGCCCTAGGTGCCTGCAAGGCTTCGAAGGACATCCAGCCGCAAAAGCTTGTGGCGGCGCTGCCAAGTGCTTGCCACGTGGCCCAGTTGGGTGTAGAATGACAGGGCTCCTTCGAGAAGATGACGGTGAGTGCTCTGCCCTGAAGCTGGGCAATCTGTGGGATGTCAAAGCAGCAATGTCATATCCTGTGATAGCAGAAGGAGAGATTTCGAAAGTGGGTGCATACAGGGAGGAGAGAGGCAGAAAGTGGTGCAAGATCAGAGAGAACCGTGTACTTCGACAAGACTGTGACAAAACATCCACTGACTTCCTTGTGCAGCTACTTCGTGATTGGGTAGCTGCGGCGAAAACCGAGCTGGTCTTGTAGCATCTTGTAGCTGTCCGTGGTCGTACTGTGCTTTCCAGCAACAAGCTGGCTTCGTAGCCTCGTTGCCGATGAGATGCTGGACTGCACTTCTGCTCCTCCCAAGTGATCGGGAGTGACGAGGATGGCCGCCTGATCTCTCAGAAAGGAACACTTCTGTTCTCCAGGCCTCCGCGAGTTTGCCGATCCAGCATCAAGTCGCAGCCGGTCTCGCCAGCCATGTGAGCTCAAGCCCGGAGTGCACAGTACGTCGCATCATGTAGCGGCAATGTAGCTATCGCTTAGAGCAGAATTCACCCCTCCGATCCAGAGCAGTGTCATCTTCCGTCACCTGATGCACGCTGCCAGCATTGCTGTGATCTGATGTCGACCCTTTGACGTCTTTGCCCATGGCCCGGAAGCCTCGAGGCGGTCGAGGTGGCCGTGGCAGAGGACGAGGAGCTCCCAGGCGCAACTCTTCCATGCGGTTTCCATCCGGGGAGGGTCTTGGCCCTTAAAGCTTGGCTGTGAGGCGGAGCGGCATCGAAGCCTATGGACAGGACGAAGCTGATGAGTTTCTGGCTCTAGATGAGTCAGGAGATGAAGCTGTGGAGGACGAGGAAGGAGAGGAAGATGTTATGCAATTGACGCCGTTGGACGACGGTTCGAAGGAATCCAGAGCCAAGGACAAGAAGTCGAAGAAACGGTCAGCAGAGCCTGACGAGGAGGGTGTAGACCTCGCCCCTGTCAGTAAGGGTTGGGGTCGCGGTGATTTCTACGGAGGGGAGGATGCTGGAGACGACTCCGAAGGGGCAAGCGATGAGGATTTGACTTTCAAAGAGGCAAAGAAACTGGAGGCAGCTCTCTTTTGAAGGGTCCGATGCCTTCGCGTCTGAAGCCGTCTCGACATTCATTGGTTCTCAGGAATTGCGAGCAGCGCGCTTGCAGAGTCTCAGCGACCCTCTCTCTGCATTGCTTGGCCAAGGCTCCGGCGAAGGCCCAGTCACCGTTAGAGAGTGTCCACAGGGACTTACGGCGCTACACGTGGATCTGAATTCAATGGCCAGGAGAAGATCAAGACTCAAAAGCTCAGGATGTAGACGCCGAGTTCGAAGCAGTCTTTGCAGAGCAGGCGGAGAAAAGCATGGTCCAAAGGGACCTCTCACAACTCTCCGATGCCAAAAGGCCACGGTTGAATAGCCCGGATGCATGGTTTGCTTGCAGAGTGAGGGAGTAGCTTTTGCAATCATTTGCTGTGCAGGAAAAGCCTTTTGAAGAAGGAGTCGCCGGAGTTGCTCCCACTCTTGCAAGACTTCCAAGACAAGATCAATACCCTATTGCCGCTCCTGTCCTTGCTGAAGCCTAATGCAAAGACCCGGCTGCCTTCTTCCGGCGCGTCCTACCTGGAAGCTCGCGTCAGCTTGCTTTTAAATCACTTGGCCAATTTGTCGTTTTATCTGATGATCAAGGCTGAGGGTGCCGACGTGCGTTCACATCCTGTCGTGTCGCAGCTCGTCTGGCTTCGGGAATTGGGTGAACTCATGAAAGCAGTCGATGAGCGAGTTGGCACGAAATTGAAGAAGGCAGTGAAGCAGGCCAAGAAGCTCCCGGATGTCGTGGAAGGCGGTGATGCCGAGACGACAGAGCCACCCAAGGCCAAGGTGGAGGTAGCACAGGAAATCACTGAAAAGCAGAGTCTGTCACTGGCAGAGCGCCTGGCGCGCTTGCGGGGAAAGTCCGTCAAGAACGGATCGTCTGAGCCAAACAAGCCCGGTGATTCGGCGGCTCCTTTGGTGTCTTCTCTCTTGCGACTGCCTCCTTCCAGGCGGAAGGCAAACCGTGGCAGTGGCGAAGCCCCCGCGGATCTGGATGAGATCGACCCAACCTTAGGTGCCTGGATGCCCTCGGCCAGTTTGAGCCAGCAGCTTTCGGAGGTACAGCAACATCTCCGGGAGCGCAAGGCCAAGGCAGCACCACAGGCTTCGGATGTGAATCCCGAGCCTCGAGCGCGAGCGCACCGTGAGCGAGTTCAGACCGAAATCGATCCTCGAGAAGTTGCAGACAGCTCTCAGAAGGAGCTATCTCTCCAGGCGAGAAGTGGTGGCGACGACGATGGGTTAGGAGAAGTGGTCCAGGAAGCCAATGCAAAGTCCCGGATTCGGAAAGAGAAGAAGGAAGCAGAACGGTCGGCCAAAATGCAAGCCAAGCTTGCACAGCAGTACCATCCGGAGAAGAAGGTCGAGGCCGGAATGCTTCCTATTTTTCGGCTCCTTACAGTGATTCATTCATTGCATCTCTGTTGCAGCCCTGACTGGCCCAAATGCCAGGGCCGAAGAGCATCCAGCAAGCAAATCCTGGAGAACAGAGGTTTGGTTCGCTTCCGCTGCTCAGCTTAAGATCGCTTTCAAAGCGTTGTTCGGCTTACAGCCTTGAGTTGTGTGCCATCCTGCCAAGCCTCTGTCAGGTAAGAAGAAGGCGGGGAATGCGAGAGTGGCGAATCGCCAAAAGTATGACAAGCTCGTGAAGCGGAGGAAGGGCGCGGTGCAAGAGATGCGCGAAGGAGCCGCAGATGGTGCAACCTATGATGGCGAAGCCACTGGCCTGCGAACGAACCTCCGAAAGTCCATGAAGCTCGGCTAGATCGGCTAGATGCGCAGTGGCGCCCAAGCTCTCCCTAGCGGAGCTCAAGTGTCTCACTGACAGGGACGAACACCATCAAAGGCTCCCCTGGGAGCAGTTAACGAAACTGCCATCTTTGCTTGGCAACTCGCTTTCGGAAAAGGTTGAGTGTTGCGGCTGCCACATGGGAGAGGCCACTTTTCGGAGGAGAGTCCAGCCATCCTTGCCAGCTTGGCTCTGAGGCCACCCGACAAGCAAAAGTATTCGACACACACGCACGCGAACACACTTGGACACACGCACACACACACAGAGTCGCTGGAAAAAATAGTCATCTTGGCAGCATGCGATCTAGCAGCTTCGTTGTTGCAGAGAGCACGCTGACGCCAGATCATCAAAGGGGGGAAGGTGTAGTCAACAGATCCTGTCATAGTGGACAAAGCAGTCCCCTACGGTTCGACGCCCTCCTCAGCGCAGCTTGGTTTTACGAAGAAAAGAAGTGATATGAATGCTTCCCAGCTTCGCCATGGTCTGCAGTCGCAGGTCATATGCAGGCCCAAAGGAGATGGGAAAAGGGAAAAAAGGAAGACCGAGAGAGAGAGAAAGAAAGAGAGGGAGAGTGCGGTTTCACGCCGACCAACAAACGACAGACAGTGCCGTAGCGCGTGAGCGCAGGGGGGCGAGGGGAACCTCGTTCTCCAAACGGCGTGCAAGCAAGCAAGCAAGCAAGAGAGGGAGAGAGAGAGTAAAAGGTGTACTTCGCACCTTGTTCGGGTTAGCTATCCTCTTGCTTTAAGCGTGGGAACAAAGACAGCAGTGGGTCAGCAGTCCAAATGCATTGGGGGAATCCTCATCGGGGACCTTTCAGCTGTCGCAGTAAGTTTGTAGCTGATGATCCTTTCTTGCTACCCATAATTCCCCCGGCCTTATTCCCAAGAGCCACACAGGCAAAAGTTGCCTTCGTGGTGACAAGCTAAACCACAGTGGCAAAAGTGGCCTTAGTGGTGAGAGCAATTTCACGAAAGTCCTCCGCCCATGTCGGGGGCGCCTGACGGCGCGCGGGCAAGGGGGCTCACCCCTTGCCCTTAACCCTGCAGAAAGAAAGAGAGTGCAGGGGGGAGTTCCCCTTTGCCCATAACCCTGCCGAAAGAAAGAGAGAGAGAGTGCATGTTTTTGTCTTGTGACCTCCCGACTAATTTCACTTCGGAGCGGGGGGCCCCAGAGTGGGGGCACCAAACAGCCCCATGTACGAACTGCTACAGGTACAGAACCACAAGGCCTGAATGCGGGTTGGGATTTAGGAATAGGAGTTTGCGCTTGGTAGTTAGTACGGAAACCCGGCTTTGGGGGATCATTCCACCATGCAGCTCGCTCCGTCCTAAATGCCCAGTGCCCCAACACCACAACCAGGGCCTCATCGTGTAGCCGACGCAACAGACCGGTGCGCCTGCACGCGCGCGCGGGAGGGGGGAACTCGTGTAAGAAGGGAAAGAAAGAGAGAGACCCCAACCATGACAACCCTCAAAATTCGAAATTCGGAGCACTCTGTTTGACAGGTCCTTGACCGGACCCTTTACGCCCGAATTAGAGTCCCCAGACTCTAGACAACAGACCGAGAGAATGGCTGGGCGCCTATTCAGTCCAGATCCTTGTAGGATATGAAAGGCCAAGCCCTCTCACTTAGAAAGTTCTCCCAGCCAGTCCCTCCTGGATGTGAATGCGAGGATTCTGTTCGCCGTGGGTGTGTTGGGTTGCGTCACAACCCGCTCGCATCCGCTTTGGTTGTTTCCCTGACGAGCCGAACACGGGCAAGTGTCAAACAGAGCAGCCTGAAAGGAGGCGGGCCAGACAGGCCGACACAGAGGGGGGCAGGCGGGGTCGCTCCCCGTCTCGTAGGCCATCTGAAAGAAAGGAAGGAACGAAGAGAGAGGACATTCGCTGATGACGGTCGGACTCTTGCCCCAGGGACAGAGAGAGAGGGGACATTTGCTGCTGCCTCAAACCCCTAGCAAAGCAAAGCAAAGGGGACGTTTGCTTATGCCTGCAGCAAGATGAGGAAAGGGAGAGAGGGTCTCCTCTTCTGAGAGTGACAGGCAGTTGCCCGTGCCCTCGCGAACCAGGGCAAAGTCTCCAACCACCAGAGGACGTTGGTGTGTTTCAGCTTGTGGTTTGCGAGCTGTGAAGGGCTCTAGGGCACTGCAAGAGAAACTTATTCTTCCTCGCCATGTGCCGTGACTAGAACGCAGGAGATGCTGGCCGAGGCAAAGTGTGTCTGCAGGCAGGGCAAAGCCTGTTTGGACAGGTCTGCCAGCAAAGCCAAAACACAAGTCTTCCCGCGGCTGAGGTCCTTTGATGCTTGCCAGCATGGCGAGCATCGTAGCATGGATGGTGAGCCTCGACCTCAATAGACAGCGAGTTTGGCCGCTTCATCCACCAAGTTGTTTATTTACATGATTTGAGGCTCGCCGAACCGGCTAGGGCTACGAGCAAGCCAGTTTCCGTCACGTCGCACACATTCTATGTATTTTGCACAGTATGCACCACCGACAAAGAAAGAGTCGCGCTGTTGTAGCCACTTGCCTTTCCACATCCCTGAGACGTCTCAAATGTCGGCGCTGCGGCCTTCTGCAGTCGGCAGCAGGACGATGATACAATCCAATGCAGAGACGATTCCATGCCTCCATAGGCACGGATTTGGTGTAGTCGGGATTGTGTGAAACACCAGGCCAACTCCCTCGGGATACTACTATGCGGCGCCTTTGGCTGCTCCTGCAGCACCGCGAGTCGTGCTGAGCGCTTCTCAGCCTATGCACAGCCGCGTCCCCGGTTCTTGGCGCGTCTTGGGCCGGCGCCGTTCGCATTGTCGCATTGGCAGGCTTAGCAGGCATTGCCCCAGCCTTGGCTGCAGCACGCCCAGCATCAAGAGACAGAGCACTTCACGGCCGCAACAGACATTGGGAAAACCAAGGCAGTGCCGCCCATCGTGAGAACCATAAGGCCTGCTGCGAGCCGGTTCTTTCTCGCTTCTCCGACATCCCTCAGACTTCAGACTGCAGGATGCCGGCTACAAGCATGACGGCCCCCGTCACAGTCACTCACTGCGCCACGGCCTGGCGCCACTTGGACACTCAGAAGTTGATGTGCCCGAGTCCAACCGATGTGCAGTTTTGGCAACGTGGCAACGAATCACACCATCGAGGTGATGACGGCTCCAACGCTGTCAAAAACTTGACCGATGGCGCCTTCACGATCACTGGCAAGCCTTCTAAAGGTTCACCTGTAAATGCTCTTGGCACGATTCCGCTTACTTCTGGGCAATACTTCGAGGTGACATGCCAGGACTGATTGGGTTTCGTGTGGGTGTGTATGGCTTGCGGGAACCTCTAGGTTCTAGATCTGCATAGAGTGCTGTGCTTAAATCAAGCGACAAACAATGGATGCCTGGGAGGACGGTGATGGACCGTTTATTGGAGTTGGGAAGCTGGAGAACTTCGCACAAGGATACAAGTGTAAGGGTCTCCTGTTTGGTGGCCCGGGCAATTTGTCCAACGGCTCTGCGCTCATGAAGGGGGAGTTTGGAGGGCAGGTCTCGAAGGGCTCGGTCGTTGGCATCCTCTGCGAGATGACTTCAGACCTTGTGACCCTGACCGTGTACCAAGACGGACGATGCCTGGGGCCGGCTTTTGCAGCAAAGCGACAAGAGAAGGCCCAGCTCTTTCCGCTGGTTCAGGCGAAGAGTGATGGCGACACCTTTCGGATTGCCTTCAAGGCACCGCCGGCAGTCCGCAGCAGAGAAGCTGGCAGCCAGGAGGGATTCGAGGGCAGTTGGGCCATCGAGAAGATGATGGTTGGTCCCGAACTCGGCGAGTATCCGCTTTCCACAAAGATGAACGAGAAGCCAGTCGTATTAAAAGTTACCACCGGCCCAAACGGCTCTGTTCGGATGGGCGCCAAAGTTGTGAACGTGCTCAATTTTTCCGCATCCTCGAGTGCCGATGCCGGCTTGGCTCCGTTTGATGCCTTGACAGTGAATCCTGGCATCTCAACGATGATGGCAGGCCCGGAGCCTATGATGGACGCCGAGTCGAAGCTTTCAAGCGGACTTCAGGGTGCCCGCAAGTGGATAGTTTCTAATGGCAAGCTGCTGATCAATGGACCAACCTTTGAGATCTCTTGCGCTCGCTACATTGAATCGTTCGAACCTGTGGATACGGAGATCTGACGAGACGCTGCAATTCCACGACAAAGGTCGAACACGCATCGTTTGAGAAAACGTCGTGCGGAAGTCCTCGTTTAACATGTGCACTCGTTTGGCTGTGGCTCGCCTTGGAGCATCCTGCCTTCACGAGGCCCTGGGATTTGCCAATCTGCGGCTCGCAGCTAAGACTGCCTTTCCTGTCGAGCAGAGAGCGGGGGGTCGTGCAACCAGCAGAGCCCAGATGTAGCCAAAGCAGGAAATGTGCAGCCAGGCCCACAGCCCTCAGCGACCTCTCACCCTCCAGCAGATTGCCGGCAGGGAGATCAGCAATGGGAACCTGCGTCAGGCGAATCTTCGCATGTGGCATTGCATACCTAGCTGAATGCAGACGGGTTTGTCGAGATTTCGCTCATTCCAGGCAGCCTGGCTTCTGAACACTTGTCAGAAAAGCCAACAGGCCACAGCTTCGCCTCACCACTGCTTTTCACGAGCTTCACGTCGTTGACAGAGGCAGCCGATCCCGAAGTTTACAGCCAGCTCATCACGGCTTTTGCTACACGTCGACTGATGAGGGAGGCAGCAGTTTTGTCAGCAGAGCTTGGCATCTGATGGAAAGTGTTCCAGGCGGTGAGCTGGATGAACGCGGAAACAAGCTCAGGGATTGCAAAAGCCGTGCTGCGGAAAGTGTACCCCGCAAAGGCTGCGATTCCATCCGCTTTTGCCCAAGGCAATGGCAATGGACCTGGAGCTGGATGCTGCGGCTTTTGCTGCTGCCCCGCACTGAGAGAGGCAGGGCTTGGCAGGCCTCATAAGCTTTCCATTAGGGCGTGGAGCACACATCCGAAGAGCCATTCCTCTCTCGCTTTAATGCCCTTACATGCCATCTCGTCTGTGAGCGTGACGACGTGCCCCCCCCCCCCCCCCCCACATCTCGAGCCCCGCGCACTACTTCGGCTAAATTCAATTGCGTCTAGGGGCACTTGATAAACCGGGTGGAACCCATAGGCAAGCCCAATCTGCTTCCGTTTGCATAGCCACGCATATTGTCGGGCATGCACGCTCGTGACCAACACTTTTAGCAAGCGATGCGACGAGCAGAAGGAAAACTTGATCCTACCTGACCAAGGTAGATCTTCATCAGAGCAAGAAAGATGCCGGATCCTCGGTCATGCCACCTCTTGACGTTTGTTCGTCAGTGAAGTCTCCTGGCATGCAGGTGGGTCCACGGGAGGAGTTGGACGAAGAAGGCCAGCAAATCTTTCGTTGAGAGAACATTAGGCAGGTGACAGTGAAGGCTGTCTAATATTGTCTAATTGTCTGAGCCTGTTCTGGTTCTAGGCCGCAAAAGGTGGTGGAGAACGGTCCATTCCCAACTCTGGCTGATCGCCATGAGTTTGTCATGCGCTTCGGGTGGCTTGTCTGTTGGCATGCGACCGGCAAAGGTCTCGCGAATGCGGGAGGGTGGTCTTTTGGAAGGCCCGATCACCAGCGCTCGGATGGAGAGTTTCAGGTCAGTTTGAGGTATTGGAGCGCAGCAAGCGAAGACCAGCGTTCTACCGTTCTACCTTGAGACTTCGATTTGCTGAACAACAGACGCGTGTTCTCTCCCAGAGCTTTCGGGCATGGCTTCTGTGTACAGGCACTGTGGGCCGAGATGCGCTGCTCTATCTTCAGACAGCTGGTAACTTATCCAGTCGCATAGGCTCAACTCGATATTGGATTGGGCCGAAGCTCTGTCTTTCGGCCACATCATGTACTAACGTACTATGTGTTTGCGATTTAATTCTGCTTCTGGCTGAATCCTGATGCCTTCAAGGCTTGCCAATCTCGGCTGAAAGTTCAGGCAACCATGTTCGAGGAGCCGAAGGGTTCACTCGAGTCTCTGTGCAACTGGGATGTCTGGGCCGATGAAGATCAGCTGCCTCGGTAGTAGCCTGCGGAAGCCAGATGTCATGTCGTTTGGTTTGGGGCTTGTGAGAGGGGTTTTGTGCAGGATGCCATCCGTGGCTTCAGAGACGTCGCATCCTCAGCCTTTATGCAATCATGCTGCTCGAAATAAAGCACTTGAAGCACTCAGGATCCCGACTCTGCGGCCGAGTGCCTTCAGTGTGCAAGCAAGCTGCGCCTGGAGCAGGAGGCGAGAGGGAGTCGCTGAGCTAGGCTTTCCGCAGCGCCTTACACACTTGGGCTTGTCTTTTATGCGAGGCCTCAACCTTCCAGTCCGTGATCATGAACTGCTGCGCGACACTCAGCATGCTGACTTCGGAAGCGATCGCACCTGCTCCGGACTTGACCTGACACAGCGGAGTTTGCTTAGGCATGCATGGCTTGCTAGACAAAGCATCGGCACTTGTGGATACCATGGCACCGCACTCAGCTGTCAACGTCGGAGCGGCCGTGAGAGTCTCTTGAAATCTCTTGAAGAACGTGTCAGGCCGAGAGCGGATGGCAGCCTGCACCTGTCACCTGGCGATCATGTTGTGATTGCGCCAGGGAGAACTGCTCACAAGTTTGGTGACTGAGGACATTTACCGTGCCTTGTGCCACGGTCAGGCATGGGAGTTGCAACTTTCCGGGCTACCGCTGCTTATTGTCGAGGTGGGTAGACACGGCCACACGGCAGGCATTGAGGCACAACGAGACCGGCGTGGAATTCTGGCTTTCCAAGCTGGAGGCCAAGACCGGCCATTTCAAGTGCATGTGGCAAGTAAGATGTGGCAGCTCAGGGGTGCTTCTGGTTCCGAGAAGTTATTATGGCAACAGACAGGCAAGCATGCGCAAACAGCAACTGTGATGGAGTACGAACAGGACACTGAGATGGAGCTGGCCCCGTTTCGCTTGATGCAATGGGCCCAGTGCTGCTGAGCACATATGTGTCCGAGTTCGAGCACCGGAAGCCGTGAAGGTCGTATCATCGAGCAGCAAAAGGTCAGGCAGCGTCATCCGAGGCACGAGTAGCGAGCAAGGTTTTCTTTTCGGCCGCTTGTTTTTGTATTTTTTTGCTGTTTGGAACGACAGTGGACACCCCTTCGTGTCCAGTATTTCCTGCTTTTCCTGGCAGGCTTGGCTGGAGCGTGCGCATGAGGCGGCACTACATCCTGATGTTGCTTGTTACAACGAGGCCGCTGCTGGCCTTTTTAGTCATTGCCAATGAGTGCATTGATAGCCCTGCGCGTGATGCCTTGCAGGTCCTGGCAGCCTTCTCGCGGCCCAATAAGGCCTTTTCATGCTCATGCAGCCGGCTGCTGATTACACCACGTCAGGGCATGTGTGGTCAGAGATCTGGCTTCTTTCTCTTGTGTCTGTCGTCGTGTTTCTGTCCTTTCGTCTTTCGTGCTTGAGTTGCCTATGACGTGGGTTGACTTTGTTGCACCATAAAATCTACTCCGAACTCTATTTGTAGCACCGTGTTCAGCCTGATCGGGGTGCACAAAGTGCCGACCCATTGGCTAGGTCCAGGTAGCAGCTTTGACGGCTGGGTTTTGTTAGCTTTTTCGATTGTTCGGCCACACCAGGGACCAGGTTCTGAGTGCCGCATCGCCTTACTTTGCCAAGTTGGTGTTTGCCCGCTGGCTGTGATTGCTCTTGCTGTTGCGCTTGCTGTTCAGGGCTGTGCAACCGAATGGGCTCTGCCTGCCAAGCGGGCGGACGGAGCGTGGAGGTCTGCATATGCTGTTCGGATGATGGCACAATTTAGGCAGTAGCTTTTTCATCCAGAATGTGTGTCTCTTTGCAGGTGCTTTCAGCAAATGCGTCACAAGGTACGCTTCTGGCCACATCCGAAGCGCTCTTGGTTGTAGGTCGAGTACACGTCCATTTTCCGACAGGCTGTCGAGCCAGATGCTGGATCCCACAGGACGGCTGGTCGCCGCACTTGTAGGCTGCGGACAGACTAGACTACCGGACAGGTCGGTACTGCGCGGCTTTGCCCGGTCTGGCCTTACGAGGCTCGCATGCTTGCATAGTCATGCTTCCGGCTCGTGCGCTCGATGGCCCGTGCTTTCGCGTGGCGGTGAGGCGTAGCGTGGAATTGATGCAGCAGATGCTGGACGCGAATGTGGCCGTCGATGAGACATGTTGCTCGTCCCTGCAAGGTACTCGTACGATTTACCAGAAGCTGCCGTGCTTCACCGCACCAGAGCAGTTATGACCACAAACTGAGGCTAAACATAGACAACCTTGCAGACACTGAGATGCTGCAACTGAGGCTACAACTCGCTGCTTTGTCAAGCTGCCATGCTTTCTATCGGAATCACATTGCTATGACAGGGTATTTCCACCAGGACTCTTGAAACCCCAGAGTAGAAGAAATGTGCTTGCTATGTTTGTTTGCTTGCTATCCTGTTATGGCGTAGACAGGGGAACATTCGGGAGATGTGCCAACTACCCTTCCTGCAGCCGTTTGAGACATGAAAGTTATCCCAAAGGCCGCCTCCCCTTGTCCTCGGATGCCTCGTGCTAAGAGACTTGCGTACGATCACATACGTGGGACTTGCGAAACCCCGTTGGGCTCAGGCATCATGCAAGGATGGCCGCCGTTTGCCTTCCAGGCCGTACAGCTTGGCCGTTCGTTTTCGTCTGGGTTTGATCTGGCATTTTCAAGCTCCGATTTGTTTAAGGAGCTTGCACAGGTTTTTGTTACATGCTTTTGGGGATGAGACTGACATAAAAGCATGCACAACGTGGTGTGCTCGTGAGAATAGAGTCGAATCTTCAGCTTCGTTAGGCCATGTCCGCAGACACAGAGGACTTGTCCTGATTTCCGTGGGCAGCACTCGCAGGTCCATGACATTTAACTACAGTGCTGTATCGGTGAAACTGCAGGAGCAAGAGCCTTCCTCAAAACGCCAGAGGTCACAGGCCAGCGGATGAAGCTGCCTTGTGCTAGGGAGTGTTAGAGACCTGGTCCTTGGTGGATGCCAGGACGGCTCGGAGGCCTTTCCTTGTCTGGGAGGCTGGCCAGGCCTGGATCGTACAGAGCAGGGCCTGCCCTTGTCGCTGTGCATCACTTTACCTGACCGCGTCAGGTAGTTTCGGTGACGGCTGTGGTGGCTCGCAGACATCTCAGAAGCAAAGCTGCCCCAGCAGATCATGTCGGGCATGATAATGCGCAGGTGTGGTAGCGGTTATGGCGGTGCCAGCAGCAGCGGCTCAGGCATCAGAGCTCCGAGAACCCAAGCTACCTGTGCAGAAGAGCAGCGGCAGTCTGTTTGTCAGGCGCTGGTGCTTTGGACCCCATGGCAGGCTGCGGCCGTGAGGATGTCATGCTAAGATTTTGCCCCAAGCCGTCCTTTCTTCTCTGTTGTGAGGCTGCGCAGGATGCTCCGGTCTCGGCTGGGGCTTTGGCCCGAGAATCGATTCAACAAGGGGTGTAACCGTCCCCAGATGGGGAAGCTAGCAGGAAGACAAGGCAGCTCTCGGAGATCAGCTTCCTGAATTCAGTCTTGATTGACATTGAGACGAGTAAGGTGCCTGCGGTGGCATGAACCCAATACAACTGGACGCTTGACCGCACGAAGTCAAACCGTTCCTAGAGCTCCCTGCGGCGAATCGCAGCCACCGCAAGGCCCAGATGCAGCAGATGGCCCAGGCCATGGCAGCCTTTGCCTCGAACGCCAAGGATACGTGAGAAATGAAGCTCTCTCAAAGGTAGATAATGTGATGCGTTGTTGCTGGAAGGAGGATTTTGTCCCTGAGAATCCAAACGTGGAGGAGAGGTACTATGGCCACGAGGATGCAAGGAATAGCTCACACGGTTCAATGTGGCAAGAACACCGCGAGAACGGTAGCGAGTCGAAACAAGGCGTTATTCGTGATTACAACGAGAGCCAAGTCACAGCCTCGAGCCAGTTCAGTGACCGTCGCAATGTGCCATTGCAGAACTTTGGAAAACTGAGGGCTTCGGTTTCATAGAATGCGAAGACGCAAAGTGGAGATACGGGATGGACGTGTTCATTCACAGGCCAGCCCGCACTGACGCGGCACCATGTGCTACTCCACAGCTTGTACTTGGGGGTTTGCTGTTCTCCGAAAAGGCGTCAGATGTTTGGCTTGGCCAAGGGGGACGAGGTTAGCTTTCCCGTTTTTCACGCGAGGACATTCCTTCTGACAGCTGTTGCAGGTTAGTTTCGTGATTGTGCGAAACTCCCAAGGCTGGATGGGCTGTTTGTGGCTGGATTTACAGCCAAAGCTGTTGTTTCTTTTGTAGAACGGCAACAAGTGCAGTTGCAGGTCAGCCTCAAGCTAGGCATGTCATCAAGAAGGAGGCAGGTTGACGATTCGCTCTGCTCAGGGTCCTGTAAACTTGGGAGAGAATCCGCTGTAAGCCTGACAGAGACAAACAAGACGTCGTCGGTCCATGTAAGGAGTGAGTTCAGCACCTGCCGCCCTGGCAAGGAGACGGCCCGAATACTGGAGAAGCGTAAGGATCGGGAGAAACGAGAGGCTGGCTGAATTGGCTGAGCATGTTCATCCTTCGTGATCGCGGGGACATCGCTTCGAAGGCCGAAAAACTACAAGCAAAGAAGCAGGCCGACGGGACTCTTCGTTCTTCGGGGCAGCGGACTCTGACAGCCTTCAAGTCCCTACCGTCTTTCTAGACAAGCGTCTGGCGATTTAGAGGAATGCCTTGTGCTCATGGACAGGCCTCGGAAAAAGTTTCGGGCTCATACTGGATCCACCGGATCCCTTCCATCTGGCGATGCGATTATGCGCGAGTCTGCGCTGCTCTTTGCTGTTCATCTGCCTAGGTGTTCACTCCCAGCACAATGGAGGGCAAGGTCATGTCTGAGGAGGAGGCAAGAAGATTCCAGAAGTCCTTGAAACGAGGCAGATGACAGCCGCTTGCCTGCACCTTCATTGACAGAAGCTGTGCGGAACAGTGTTGCGTTTGACTGAAGAGATCTCCTGTGAGTATGAGGCCAATGAATCTCCGGCCTCATGATCGCACAAAGATGTGCGGAGTGTGAGACCACTCAGGAACGCTGAATGAAAAAGGAGAAGCAAGAGTCATGCTTGTAGCAAACCTTTCGCGCGGCAGCTTGCTTTGTAAGCTACTGGCGTCAGGTGGCCTTGCACGGGCCAGAGAGGCTGCACTCGCATCGACGTGGCTCCAGAGGTGGGGCTGTGGGGTCATTCATGCATTTCAGAATGACAAGAACAAGAAGCATCATTTCGCCTCCGCTGCATGGCTTCAGGATGGTGGTAGACAAGCTGGAAGCAGATGAGGCTCAGCCCCGTGCGTCGAATCTCCGGATTTGCGACTAGCTGCTAGCTCTGCTGCTGCTAGCCCTGCTGCTGCTAGCTGCTAGTCGAAGAGGTGGCCAGATATGTTTGTAGAGAATGAGTGTGAGGAGTGGCCGGTATGGGCTCCTTTCCCTAAGCCATGGTCCAATGAGAAGGTCGCCTTCAATGCTGTGGTTTCGTCCCACCTGGACATCGGCGACTGGAAGAAGGCAGGGAGTGCCATCATGCAGAATTGCCGAGAATTCTCGGAAGCTGAGGCTGCACAGTGGCTGAAGCGAATGGTCATCCGTAATCTGACTCCCGTGAGGATGCCGAGATACATGTTTTCATATCGCTGCAGCAAATGCTGTAGTTCCTAGATCGTCTGCCTGGATTAGTCTTCCCACGCATTGCGGGGTCCATGCAACAGAAGCAACCGCCGGGCGCCAGGACTCATTACAACGAGGTCATCGACTACTGTGTGCAAGAGGGAGAGTTGGACAAGGCGCTCCGTGCATCGACGAACGGCAGGACCATCACGCATATGGGCACGGTGCAGGCCTACTCGTGGTTGACCTTGATGAAGGACTGGCAACGTTTGGTGATCGTGCTCGAGTGCCTGCATGCAATGACAAGTGCATTGAAGACCATAGCCGAGCTTTAACAGACATCCCGCTTGTGCTTGGCTTTCCCAGTGCTAGCAACTCACATTGCATTTGCTTTGCTTAGCTTCTCAGTTTGGCAATGTCGGCGTGCGAGAGGCACGCAAGCCAAGAATGCGCGAAGCGATCGCGTCGGCCGGTTGCTCTGGCGATAGGCCTGCTGGCATTTGGATACTTGGGGCCATCCTGGATGCTGTCCCCCGCGCTTCCACGGCCGTGCAGAGCCACGCATCTTACGATAGGTAGCTCGAACTTACCACCGCCCAAGACGCTGAAGACGTCACGCGTGTCACTGCAAGCTTCTGAGAAGGAGCTTGACACCGATGCTGTGGGAAAGTACGCATTGTCCATTGCGATCCAGCTACTTGGAATTACAACTTTCTTCACGGCGATCGATTCTGCTGTGAAAGCCTCGGGTGTGGAGCTGCCTGACTGGGCTGTTTTTGCCTTGTTCTTTGGCATGAGCTTGCGCTCGCGCATCTTTTCGCCCCTGGACAACTCCCGGCCCGATATTCAGAAGGCAACGCAGGGACAGGCCACAGGAGGTTTCAACGACCGGACGATGCCAAGTTGGACACCTCCCGGTTTCTTTTTCCCGATCATGTGGATACTTATCGTGGCACCTCTTCGTGCGGCATCCTCAATGATGATTTGGCAACAAGTTGGACACCTTTGTGACGCAACCATCTTGGTCCTTATGCTTCACTTGTGTGTGGGCGACACTTGGAACACGGTGAACAACGTGGAGCGAAGACTAGGAGCTGCAGTGCCTGGCGTCCTCTGTGTCTGGGCTTCAGCGCTCGCTGCGAGCTATGCGTACTTTCAGGTGGATCCCTTTGCTGGGCAGCTACTGTTGCCGACTTGCTTGTGGCTGACGGTGGCAGCTGCTTTGGTAACGGACACCTGGCGGGTGAACAACACGTCTGGAGCAGAGCCACTGTTTCCGTATAGGGGCACAACCCAAACAAAGTTCTGGTTTTCCACGGACTGAAGTTTGGCGCCCTTGAAAGCAAAAGAGGCGCTTGCGTGCCCTTGTCTGCTCTGGCTTCCGTAGCTGTGGCTCTTTCTGTGTACGGGCAAATCTCCTACAGGCCACTCCCCCGTCGTTGCCGGATCTGGTTTCGTACCATCACCTAGTCAGTGGTGCTGCGGCGCTGGGAAAGGAGAAACAAGCGGCCTGCTGCTTACTGGCCTTGTTCGGATTGTTGCCTCGACACGGCTTCATGGCTTGACCTTGAGGCAGACTGGTTTGGGGAGATGCGATGCGCGCGATTGACACCCGATCCAGTCATGTTCACTGATGTGATCCACGGCTTTGCAAGCCGGGTATCCCAGTTCTTGTTGTATGGATTCTGGCATGTTGGAGCCGAAGTGCTTGCAGGAAGCACAGCATATGAAGCCGCCACTGCATGGCTGCGACGCATGGCCCTGCGCTAAGGCTGCCTGTTGATTTGGTGCTTTGTGCATCTGGAGGCTGTTTGTAGATAAGGCGAAAGAAACTGTGCATCCCACCGTCGCGTGCTACAACGCACTCATCTCTGCATGTGCCAGGCCGCGCCTGCGCCCAAGTCTTTCAGAGGTGAGCGCATTTGGCCCCACAGGCAGCGGGACTTGCAACGTGCGGAGTGCTGCACTTACCTCCATTCCTGAAGCGTTCATTGCTCCGTCTGAGTGGTTCCTGAGGCACTGGTTTGAGGAGCTACCGATCCAACGGCTGCAGCCGGGAACTTCTGTCGTACACTGTCAAAGCATGCGCACAGTAGGCATCAGTAGGCCTCCCGTGCGGAGAGCATAGTGACACAGAGAGAGACGCTAGACCAGTAAGGAACTCCGCGTCATGGCCCGATGTTAAATCTGTGCAAGTGGGACGAAGCAGCTATCCTTGGGAGACAAGCGCGTGCTTGCCAGGATTACTGCTAGGTTGGGTCGATTGAGGTGTTGCTCTCAAGCCCAGCAAATGAAGAATCGGAGCTTTCCCCAGGTTTATCCAGACCGTGGGGAGCAGTGCCCGAGATGTTTCTGGGGAGAGTCCCAGCGTGCAATCCAAGGCCCGACGAGATCTCTTACAAAGCATTGATTCGCGGATGTTGCTTGCTGGATGAGACGCAGAAGTCGCTTGGAGGAATTAAAGATGCTTGCGAGATTAGTGCCAAATCATGGTTCCATTGGCCATGCACTTTAACTGAGTCGCATGTTCCTTTGCAACAGTGAAGTGTTCTTTCACGGGGAACTTTCGCCCTGGCACATTCAGGGCAACGCGGTGGTTGCAGAAGCTTCAGTCCAGCAGATGCAGGCCGGGAAATGGACGGTTTCGGTTGCCTGTTAATCCATGCCCTGCCGTGTTTTTCTCTCGACTGCCTAGGCCTGATATGCCATTCTACATGGGGCTGCTGCCTGAGACACTCACTGCAATCAACGCTCCTGTCCAGCGCCAGATTCAGGATGATAAATGCGAGAGATGCAAGAGGACGCAGCTCCCCGCCAGAGGCAGGGGTCCTCTTACCAACCCTTTAGGCCTCCTGGAGAGGCTAAACTCTTTTTGTGCTGTCGCGGATGTCCTCTGCAAACGCAACAAACCTCAACCTCGCCCCACAATGTAAGCTCTCGTAATTCTCCAGCTCAGGCTCAAGATGGAAACCACCCTGCCAAAGCAGCAGGCGCGTTGAATCTGCAGCCCTTCGCACATCGACAAGATCGCCGTGATATCGGAAAAAAGATACAACTCACAAAACAATCTCATGACTCGTCTTTTCCAAAATTACAAGAAAAGATAGAATCGATATGAACTGATAGAACTTTTGATCGAGAATGGATATTGAAGAAATAACCGATAGAACATTAGATTTGGACAGATAGGTAAGACATACACATGTAGGTTTTTAAGTATAATTGTAAATAAATATGTAAATATTATATAATATACATAAAGGTATGAATAGAGATAAAATGGTTATAGAGATGAATTGATAGAAAAGAATATATATGTATATATATGTATATATAATATACAGCCAACTAGTTATATGTAATCAAGAAATACATGAGAGAGCGCTTTCTCTTAAGAGAAAAAGGAGAGAGGAATTATATACATATATATATATACATATGTACGAGGAACCTGTATGTATAATGTGATGATTCTTCTTTGTTTTAACTATTCAAAACCTCAGGTTTGGAAAAGTTGAATAGTTTTAATAGTTTGGGGGTCCAGCCTGGGACCCCAAATTATTCAAACTGCTCAAACCATTCAAACCATTCAAACTATTCAAGCTATTCAAACCTGAAGGTTCGAATGCTTTGAATAGTTTGGAGGGGGGGTCTCGGGAAGGCCAGCCTGGGAGGGGGGTAGTTTGAATAGTTTGGGGGTCCAGCCTGGGACCCCAAACTATTCAAACTATTCGAACCTGGGGTTTGAATAGAGTTTGGGGGGGTGGTCCAGGCGAGGCTAGCCTGGGGAGGGGGGTGATGGTTTGAATAGTTTGAGGGTGCAGCCTGGGGCCCCAAACTATTCAAACTACTTTAAACTATTCAAACGATTCAAACCGTTCAAACCTGGTGGTTTGAATAGTTTGGGGCTCCAGCCCCGGGCCCCAAACTATTCAAACTATTCGAACCTGGGGGTTTGAATAGTTTGACTAGTTTGGGGTGGTCCCGGAAAGGCCAGCCTGGGAGGGGGGTGATGGTTTGAATAGTTTGACCCCGCCCCCCACCTCACCCTCACCTCTCCGGACCTCCTCCCTCGACTCCACCCCACCCCACCCCACCCCA